TTTTCTCTTATTTTTTTCTATTAATATTTATGGGGGTAAATATTATGGTGTGTTTCATTATATATCAACAATTGGCTTTAATATGCGGCACTTCTGGATCAATTTCGGGCATCAACAGAAGAAGAAGAAGAGTGAAGCGCATTTTTTAGCGATGCAACCGGCGCCGGTCATCACATGTCCGGCGCCGGTCGTTGTTTTTTTTCGCATTTCACGACTATTTGCACGACCATTCTTTCACATGACCGACGCCGGACTGCCTACAACCAGCGCTAGAATATTTAAGTAATTTACTTAAAACTATAAAATTACATTTGTGAAAGAAAAACCATATGATTTTGTTCAAAAAATATGATTATGATGCTAGAATAACCCTTTATATAAATTATGGGGTATTTATATCAGTTATACAAGTTTGTGGTGCTTACTTCACATCGCTCAAAAGTTCGATGTCTTTAAATAATTTCCTCCTTGTATATTTATATAATCTTAATATATTTTTTTTCGAGAGTTTCAGCTCTCAGAAAGTTTCATTAATTAATTACATATGATACCGTGACATTTAAAGTTGTGTTTAAGAGCTAGATAAATAAGCTACACTATATATAAGGTACATATTAATTCTTTTGCTCATGGATATGACTTTAATATAATATTATATGATCATGAAAATTGAGATCATTTTTAGTTTTTGAATATGAGTCATTTGGCTTTTTATTTTTCATTACATAATGAATTTGACATGTTTATGCTTCGATTATAGCTACCTCTTGATGTGATGAGAATATTTATGTAGGTATTATTCATCACCATCTAGAAAAAAATTGTCTATTAAAAATCTAAAGCATGCAACTTTTTTCGTTCAATAATATTTATTTTGCCTAATAAGATCATATATATCTCAATAACTCCATCTAATGAAAAATAAATTGATCGCTGTAAATCACAGTATGCAGTCTATTGTCACCATTAACGCCTTCACTGAAATCGGAATGTCACAAAACTATATAATCTGGATTGCTTTCTTAAAAAAAGATCAAAAGACTAATGTGAAATTTTCTAAAACCTAAAACAACCAATATCTTAAAAAAAGTGGCTACACCCATTTTTAGATGAATAAATAACAAAACGTGTAGTCAGTTTTGAAAAAAAAGCAATAAATGAAATTGAGTTGATAAAAATATGCATTGAGCACTTTCTTTTTGTTTATTAGATAAAAATAGAATTTCTGTTGGATGCAATTATAAGTTACAAAAGTATGAAAACTATTGTTTTTTATTGGAAGATATAGAATAGAAACATGTTTAGAGTTAGTTCAAAAATAAGGTATACTCAACAAATTAGTATGTGTTTTTTAAACAAATACTATAATTGAATTATCCCGTACACAGCACAGATAAAAATAAGTGGAAATTACACATACCGTCCACTTTTATATGTCATATATCATTTATAGCCCAATCGTCTTTACTTTTCATTTTGAATCTTTTCTCTTTTCAATTGTGTTTTTTTATTTCACTTTTGGACTTCTGCCGACCTGCTCCATGTATCACGGAAGAGAGAGACGCAAAGTAAAATCACGAAAATACAATTGGGAAAGCCATTGGGAAACTTGGAGAGCGGCAACGAGATCCAACCCTCTTCCTCCATAAGAAGGCCAAATTGCTCACGATTCTGCTGTAAAAGTGGCTCTTGAGCTCGGCGAAGAATCTCCGGCAAGGAAGATATCACGCACGGTAGAGAACAGTAGGGAGGCCGACAAGACACTGTGCAACCCCGATGACGAAGAGCTCTTTGCTACCAATGATGTGGAATAAACTCAACAGAATGCTTCGAAAAGATCTAATTCCTGAGGTAATGATAATGACAACCAAATTGAAATCCATAAGGAGGCCTTCCTTCATATTCGATTTGCTCTCGGTTATTCCTAATGCTTAGTATCACCATATGGCCTAAAAAGGGTGATTGAATATGCCAAAACAAAGGATTTGACATCCATCAGTTTGGTACACACTAATCGCTGGAAATCAGATGCTCTGCTCATAATCAGTTTGCCTGATGGACCTACTACTCATTTCAAGCTCTCCAGGCTTGTCTTGTGTAAGGACATTGTGGATTTCTTTTCATATGTGCTTTCATTATGGTTTAAACTATAATCCTAAAAATGTTGGAAGTAATTGATTCCACATAAAGTAGCAGGTAGCTAGATTTCCTTGTCATGATATAGTGTCCTTAATTCTCTGTAAGGTGCTTAGATGTGGTCAATCTATAGTAGGAGGATTAAAGTTGATAATGCATTGTTATTATGAAAAGCAGTGCATATGTGTTAAGATTTATCAATGGATCTCTACTTCTCCACTGTTTACACATTAAGTTCTACTAGCTAATTTAAAAAATAGAAAGCTTAAATTGATTATTAAATCATTGTTTTTTTGTTTCAATGTGTTGTTTTTTGTTGATTTTTGTTGATCACTTTTCAATTATTGAATAATAATATTGTTTTTTTTGTTTATTTATGTTTCCATTTGTAATTTCCTTTATTATAAAATGAATTTATAAATACAATCATCAGGGCTTTGTAAATAATAACTTTTGTATGTATTAATTTGATCCATGGCTTTGTATTATCTGCATTTGGGTGTAGTGGTCACATGTGGTTCCATGTACTGGGATTGATTAGCTGTTGCAGAAAAATATGAGTAGTGTTTTCATCTTGCAACTTGGTGTTTTCATCATTTCTTTCAAAAAAAAAAATCAAACACCTTGATTCCAATTATGATGGAGTGATATGCTGAAGAAACTCTTTCAAAATGAAAAGAAGCTAAATTTGAGTTAAGTGACCTAAACTAGTTGGACTGATATTCTTGCATTTTGGCTGAAAGGGATATATGTGTATAACTGAGACTATTGCAGGAAGAACAAATGTGATCAAACAATACTTAAAGCCATGGACCAAATTATGAACACCCAATAATCAAGACTGCTCATGATATAAAGATCAGTGAGGCTGTTACTTATAAACATGTCATCATGTGATAGATAGTTTTGTGATTAAGATAGTGAAATACACTAGCAAAAAATATTGGGGAATAAAAAACTGGTTCAAACTCAATAAACTTATTTTAAGGAATTGCTGCATATTGATTACATAGGATGTGCAAATCCTGATATGTTGCTTTACTTAAAACAAATAGCATATCAAAAGGATGAAGAAAAATAGGGAATCTGGAAGCCAAAGAAGAAGAAGCTGCCAAAAGTTGCAATAGTGGGTGAAGAAGATCAACTTGCACCTTAATAGTGGCTTTGGAAGCCTGGATTGCCATTTTTCTTCTTCTTAAAGAAAACAGTTTCTATACTCAAGCAGGTGAGGAATTGAAAAGGAGAAACAGAGTATAGTCTGCTTGGTCTTCATCTTTCAGTGTCTTCAACTAGCCATCAATTTTTAGAATTCAATCTACCGCCAGCAGCAAGTGGTTTCATTTGTTTTTGGGCCGAATTATTCTTATTTTGGCACCATTAAAAAAGGAGACACAATTCTGATGGATTCTGCGTTAATATGTAATAAATTAATAATTGATTGAAATATATAATAGTTGTGATTTTGTTGTTTGTTGTTTCATTTTGTTGTATCAGACTTGTTTCCCTTTGTTGCATTGTGTTTCTTTTTGTTGTACCGGGTTGCTTTTTGTTGCAATGTGTTGGTTATTGTTGTTTATTGTCGATTTTGTTTGTAAATTAGGTTTTATTTATCTTGACTTCTTCCTGGAAATAAAAAAAACTTATAAAAATTTGTGTGCAAACACTTAAAATTTTATTTTAAAATATTTGATCATAAAACAACTAGAAACAATAATAAACAATAAAAACGAAATATTCAGATTTATCAACAAAAAAACAAATGTTTATATTTTTTGTGATTTTAGATTTTTAAAAAATATTATTTACGTATTTTCCATTTTTACTACCTCCGTCCCACTAATATTCGCACAGAAGGGGGCGACACGGTTATAAAGAAAATTAAGTTTATATAGTTGATATCAATTGATAAAGTAAGAATGATTTAAAGTAGGCAAACATGGTTTGAAAGACACGCTTACATAATTGTTTTTATAAATTTCGGGTGTTTAGAGTTTTATATTTACAAATCCCCCCTTTTGTACATTTTTCTTTATTGAATTTTGTCTTTTATGCATTTTTAAAAATCAACGAATCTTATTTTCTGTTTTTAGTTTTTTGCAATAATTTTTATCTTTTATGAATACTTTCAAATTTATATTTTAATTCTAGTTTTTTATGTTTTCAAATATCTGAATTCACATTATTTAATTTTTTGCAATTGATTTTTTAGTTTTTACGAATTTTCTGCATTCTTTATCTTCAAATTTTCGTATTCATATTTTTCAGAGATTTAAAAAGAATCAGTTTTCAGTTTATATGATTTATTTACTTATTTTTTTTATTTTTTTAGAATATTTTAGAATTTATATTTTTAAACTTTATGACTCTTTTTAAAAGTTTTATAATTTAAAAAGTATTATTTTTAATTTATTTTAATTTTTTTAACATCTATTTCATTTTGTTTTGTTTTTTATAATTTATTCGTTTAAGATTTATTGCATTTTGATTTTTTAAAATATTTATTTTCTGGTCTACATTTTTTCAATGTTGAATTAATTTAGAGATAAGCCCTTTGTCTTTTGCTTGCTCACGTGGCAAGACCGCAAGACTACATGAGTGCATTGGTGGAAGCTTGCTTTTTGGCAATTTGACGATGCTTCCCAGGGAGAAAGATGCGTTGAGGACTTGAGGGGATGAGTTATACGGAGTATTTCCGAAAGGAAATCTGCACTTTGTCTATTTTTGAAAAGAATTTTCAAAGTGGACAAAAGTGAAATGGTTTTCCATTTTTTGGCTATTCGTGATATTCTCCCTAAAAATAATAGTGAAATATATATAACGGGCTGGGCCAAGTACGTAGCATCTTATTATTTTGGAATTTGGAATCGGTCTGTTCTTTGAAAAAAAATTACACAGTCCCGTCCGGACGGTTTTCATACAACAAAAATGGAACAGGCCCGTTCCCCCACCTCTACGGTATACACCGTGCCCGATCTCCTTTGATTTTCACTACTCCAACTCGTGAGCTCCAATCCTGAAGAAATCTTCCGTCGCAGATTTCCGGCGAAGCGGAACATGAGAGCACCGAGGATGCGGTGGAAGAGCACCCTTCATGCTCGGTTCGTTCACTCAGTCGAGTTCTTGGGTGGCCATGAAAGTATGCTCCATTCATTCTTAGCTTCTCCTCTCCCTCTCATTTTTTTTTTTTGGAATTTGGAGTATATTGTCTTTATCTTTTTCCTCCTGTTTTCACATGCATTTAGTTTATAGTTAATATTTATCATTTATTGATTATGCTTTACTTTATTTTTTGCTATAACAGCTACACCCAAGTCGGTTCTTGAACTAATGGATGTCAAAGATCTCACCTTGGCTCATGTGAAATCCCATTTACAGGTAAAATATGGTTTCTTGAATTTCTTTTCTTTTTTTGCGTGTGGAGATTAAGTACACCAAACATGACTTATAAAAAACAGTGTAGAAATCGGGGTTTGGAGTCATTGCCAATTAAGCAGACTACCAATGCATTGGTTGAAGGGCTTGTGAATGAATTTGCACAGACATTCCAAATTCCAATGTTTTTTTTTCTTCAATAAAAAAGAGACCTTTTTATTGTAAATTTCTTTCCAGTAAAAGAAAGAGCTGAGAGGTGTGAGAAATTCTTATAAGCACATCTTTTGCTACTAGATCTGATGGTTTCTGCATTATACTATTTTTATCAGACTTTTTGCTTTGGGGTATGAACCATCCATCCATGTTGAGATTTTTTTTTAGAAAAACCCATTTTATAGATGGAGAAAGAAAGAAGCATAATGATTCATCAATAATAATATACCACCAGATCAAGCATATAAGACAGACTAAGACACTGAAAATAGTCATAAACTCGTGCCCTTCTTCTGCTGAAGCCTACCAGCGTGCACCGACTCAGAGTACCCCGTCTCCCCGATAATCATCGCCTCTCATGATGTTCTTAGCTAAGATTTCTTTCCTATTTTGCTCATTTGATGATGCGTTTTTAATTATCATGACAAGCAGAGACATGATATATTCAAGAAAAGAATTGATTCACACGGTAATGTTATTGAAGTCAGACAAGAAGAAATCGGTGCTCCTAAGGTAACTGGTGGCCTAGATATATCTCATCTTTATATTAACCTGGACTCATATTAGTTGTAGGATAATATCTTGTACATGACAAATGATCCACCCAATTTATATATCGCCAGCAACATATATCTACACATGTTTTATGCTAAAGCTTGATGAACAGCTTTACTTCTTATCTAAACCTGAATTTCTACCTTTATTTTCTAATGTCCATTTTGCACCTTCTACTTGATCAAATGAAGTTTTTTGCTTCAACCCAACACCTCATCTACTCATGCTTATCATATTTGTTGTTACATGCAGGTTGAAAGGCCTTTACAAAGACACGGTGGCAGGCTGGAACATAATGAGACATACTGTGTTTCTTGCTTTGGTGCAGAAATGGTCCTATTTCTTTCATAATGCTTTGCTTTATATCTTCTACATTTCCCCTCTGATACAACTTACCAAAACGTTCTTTTAAATTGAAAGCTACCCATTACGCTACCTGCTTTCTTTTGCTCTGACGCTATTTAAAGTTTGGAAATGTATGATATTTTTTTTTTATCACAGTGGCACTCTTTCACAATCTCTTCCCTTCCTTTTGCAGTCAGATGATGAATGTTGTAATTCATGTGAAGAAGTCCGTTCAGCATACAGAAAAAAAGGATGGGCAATCTCGAATACAGATTCAATAGATCAGGTTTGAGAGACTTTCTATTAACTCATACGAAGTATATGTTCCCCCCAGGATGCTAGAATTCCACGTTTAAGACACACATATTTTTTTTGAATTGTTACACGCGCAACTGTAAATTGTAAGCAGTGATGAGCTTTAACTAATTAAATAATTTGTATTTGTTTGTGGTATTAACTACTCATCCCTGCAAGTCCCACTGATGAGTATGAGGAGCAATGCATTTCTTTAAATGCTAGAAAAACTGTAGTAGCTAAAGTTAAAAAGAAGCAAGGTTGTGACTAATCACTGGTCTCTTGATTTAATGAATTCCTTTTGATTGAGGTGCTGTTGCTGATTATTTGTACTAGCAGGAGTTAAAAAATAATGCCAGATTAATCGAATAGTTTGTATTAGATTTAGTTATAATGGTGAAGAATGAGTCTGCTAATTGATGATTGGTCATTGCTGTAATGAATGCCAATTTATGAATTCGTTGTATAAGTGCTGTCTTTGTTTTTTGTGATTAAGCATTGTCCTTGTTATGTTGTTGGTCTTAAGCTTCATTTACCATACATTTACAAAGACTCATCATCATCATCGTTAAAAATACAAAAATTCTATAGGTACCCCAAAACGTACCCCATTTTGTACCCACCTCCCTGAATTGCCTGTGTACACAGGCAATTCGTTTGAAAGAGGGCAGGACTTTCTGTCCAAATGTCTGTGTACACAGACGGTGTACAGATTGGGGTACAAATTGGGGTATATCCCAAGTCCCCAAGCAGGACTCTTAAAAACATGAAGTCTTTTCATATTTTTGCCAAACTTTTTCCTTTTGATTTTCTACTGATCATGACTTTGTTTCTACTTCAATTTTTCTTTGATTCAGGAAGATTGAAGGACCAGCGAACGGTGCTATTATATATACTTCAATTCTCATTTAGTTTGCCTTCATTAATAAATTAATTAATATCAATGGTTTGGGGTACTTGCTGTGATTCATGTTTTTAATTTTTTATCAATTGGTAATTTAGGTGAAATACCAACGGCAAATACAAGAGTCCAGGTCCTCCTTTGAACATCATGTGATGTATTCTGCCACCTACTAATCCTTTGAGGGTGTCAGTGGAAAATTGCTCTGCCACGTGCTATTATCTGAGAACCTCTTGTAAGTGCTGGTAACAACTAGCAAGAAAGTTCTGAATGCCTGATAAAACAAAAGGAAATGGTTGCCTAACATGGTCATTCAAAGTTAAAGAATATTGACCAGTTGTGTATTCCTTTTTAATGAAATGTCAGTCATATTTCTATTTGATTTGTATTTTCATGGCACCATAACCTTTTTAACCCAATTTGCAACATTCATTTTGTTCTCCAACCACGTGATTCTCAAATATCTAGCTTCTGTCAATGATGTTGCAGATCAATGGTGAGTTTTGTTCTCAAATTTGTACTTTTTTTAATGTTTGTTTGCTTATAGTTTATTGCCTATGTTAGAGTTGAGCTGATTTACATTGGACTTTATTCAGTATTACATAGAACTTTGAACTTCATATTCCGGTATCTATGTTTCTGAAGTCCTAACCTAACTACTCCGTATTACATATTACTTCCATTCTGGGTCTTCTGTTCTTTCAGTCTTATATCTGTTTTCCACTCATTTTGACTATTTCGAAGTGGTCCATTGATCAGGATGAGTGAACTTAATCAGAGTGCTACTATCAGTCCTCACAAGGTTTCCCATTGGAGAGGACATGATCCAGACCAGTTACCTCTCCATACAATGACCTTCAGTTTTGCTTCTTATCAATGATATGATTTTATTGCCTTGTTTCACTTCCTGAAGGATATAAGTACTCAATTGCGCGGCCAACGAGTCTGGAAAAGGTAACACACCTCCCTCCTAGAATGGATATTAACTTTATCTTTTTATTTAATATTATTATCATAGAATGTCTGAATATTTTCTTCATGCAGATGTGGTACCATAATGTTCCACAGACCAAGCTTGCAGAGGTTAAGGGGCATCAGAACTGGGTTAATTTAGTGGTGAATACCTTACCTTTCCTGGAAGTGGAACCCAATTTAAGCATGGCGCCCTTCATTATATTGATTTTCTACAGCAGGTTTGAATCAACATATCGTTCATTACTCTAGATCTAAAGTGTTCATATGTTTTTGGTTAATATATAATGTTATTCAATCCAAGGGACAAACAAGGAGTGCAACGTAGGGTCTCATAAGAACCCAAACACTTAGATGGTGTGAGATAAATCTTTTAACAGAATATGTGCTCATCCAACATTCGGTGATCCCAGATGAAAAGTAGTGCGCTTAAGAAAGTTAGAACTGAACATGTCTAGATTTAGATTCTGGGATGTATGAGTGACAGGTTTTCCCCAATTATGATGTGTATGGTCAACTATAGTGGCATGAGGCCTTGTTTCCATTTTACTATCATTATTTTTCCATGCACGTTTTTTGGCATTCCTCAATTGCTTGCTCAGTGCTTTGTATAAAAGTTTGACTGTGCAGTAACTACTTAGAGTTTAAGAAACTGAGTAGAATTAGGAAACTATGCCTTTAACACCAAAAAGGAATCTCAATCCACGAATGACATGTTTACCTGAGTTGTTGCATTGCTTCTTTAGTCTCTGCCTGACATTGCCTGGGGAAAACGTACCCATGTCATCTTAGATGTCGGCTGTTGGCCGGGGTTGCCAGCCTTGGAGGCTTTCTTTTTTGCGAGAAATGTATTAGCTATGTCATTTGCTCCAAAAGATGAACACGAAGATCAGGTTCAGTTTGCACTTGAAAGGGGTATTCCTTCCATATCTGCTGTCATGGGTACCACGAGACTTCCCTACCCCAGTGGAGTCTTTCATGTTGTACACTGCAATGTGTAGGGTGCCCTGGCATATTAAAGATATTTCAGTTTATCTTATCTATCACTTGAGTTACACCTCTTAACATTCATTCTTCCCCATTAATCTCTTCTCCATTTCCTAAAAACATTTGATAATTTTTTTCTGCTACTTCTTAGGTAGTAAGCTTCTCTTGGAATTGAACCATGTGCTCCGACCTGGTGGGTACTTTGTATGGTCTGCCACTCCTGTCTATCAGAAGCTTCCTGAAAATGTTGAAATCTGGGAAGGCTACTTGTTTGAAAGTGATCTCCCAACTTATTTGCCCAACTATAAATTCATAGTAGCTTGCACTATATTGGGATTTTTATTGACAACCATGAAGAAATTGACCAAGAAAATGTGCTGGGAAAATGTTAAAGTGAACAAGGATAGATTGAATGGAGTAGGTGCTGCCTTCTATAGCAAACCAATTACCAATGAGTGCTATGAGCAAAGGTCAAATGAAAATCCTCCGCTCTGCAACGAGTCTGATGATCCTAATGCAGTCTGGTGAGATTTTGATTGCTATTTTCTACCTTGGAAGCTTTTGGCTACTCTATATCATAGCTAGGGGCTAGGGCAGTTAACGAGCCGAGCCGAGCCCGAACACCTATAGCTCAAGTTCGGCTCGATAAGGAAGTGATGGTGTTCGGGTTCCAGCTCGAAGCTCGGCAAGCTTTACAAATGAGGCTCGTGTTCGGCTCGATAGGCGTTCAGTTGGTGAGAATATTTCCCTGTTCCTTCACCTCCTTTATTTAATATTTCTTTCGTTTTTGTTGTATTCAGATTTGTAGCTACCTTAAAAGTTTTTAAAGTATGGGTTATGAACATTGTTTCAATCGAGTCTGCTGATACACTACCTATAATATACGAGAGAGGTCTTTTTGGAATGTATCATGGCCGGTGTGAATCATTCAGCGCTTACCCTAGATCTCATGATCTTCTCCATGCAGATCATCTCTTCTCCAAGATAAAGAGAAACTATGTATCCTCCGCAATTCACTTTCACATGTCTTTTCGTTCCTATGATCTAATTTTTCTTTTTTATTTTTACTTTTTTTTGGGAAAACTTTTTCAGGTGTAGCTTGATGGGTTTGGTTGCAGAGGCAGGATATTGAGACCTGAAGGAAAGATCATAATGCTGGACCACCCGGAGATAATAAGTGAATTGGAAAACATATTCAAGTCTGAATTATGAGACGCGGGACCAACTGGTCTTTTTTATTGTTTTCACTGGGGTTAAGGCGGTTAAGCAAATGGATAGCTTTTCAGAAAAAAAATATTTAGTAAAAAATGTACCTTTATTGAACTAGCTCTGAGATTAAATTCAATCTTTTAGTTTGATCTAACCCAAATGCCTTTGGACCCAGTTGAGAAACCCCACCTCAATCTTGAAGTCTATCAGTTTACTTCTGTTACCAACTTAGTGAACTCTTGTGTGTGTAACTAACCAGGCAAACTTCAGGATGGAAGGGAAGTCTAAGTGAAGCGTTTATACGAGCACAACAACAAGAGAATGGAGCAATTTAGAAATGAGATTGAGATTCTGAACTGCCTTAGACACCATAATCTTGTAACCTTTTCTCTTTCTTTTTCTGCAATTTTGGAAACTGAAAACTCTTCATTTTCCTGCAATTTTCTTTTCAGGAGAAGTGAAGTGCAAGGCCATTGTTTGTATAACAGTTTAGGGAAGCCCTGTGATGAAATATGGTAAGTTTCTTCAATTGGACCCTATCCGTAGAACTTCTGAGAAATCTCATTCTCTATTATTTGACTGTTGAGAGAGCAGTTGCTTGATAAAATTCTTATCAAGATAAAATCTAATTCTTTTATATTAAAATTTCGAAGAAGAATGAAAGAACAATATATATAATATGTCAAAGATAGATAAATGTATCTGAGTTGAATGATATTGTCTAAATATTTAGAACTATGTTTTTAGTTTTATTTTTTTTCTGATCTTTGACCAGATACATTATTTTGGTGCTGTTCAGTTACTCTTTTTTGGGTGCCGACCATTCAACTGAATCTGTAGTTTAGTTCATAGCTATTATAAGTACTGATTAGAGTGAAGTCAAATCTTCCTAAACTATCTGGTTTTATATGGTATCTTTACCGAGCATTGGGCCCTGACCGTCGCGCAATGCGCCTCACCAACCCGCTTCTTCTCGTTTATTTCTCCATCATTGGGCATCGTTCGTCGCGCAACGCGCGTCCAAGCTAGTAGATAGAATAAACTGGTAGCAATAATTAATAGCTTTTCAACTGATTAGCTTGTTAGTAATACTTTTTAATTGGCCTCTGAAAAATCGATGCTTTCATTATTTTCGTAAATCTCTAGATCCCAATAAAAATTTATTCCTACTGTCCCCGAATCCACTTCACATTTGCTTTTGGCACAATTATATAGACAAACAAATTATTTTTGAAATTTATTTAGAAAGAAAATAAAAGTATCTTATGGTTAAGCATGTGATCTTAAATGGGAAGATGACTTTGAGCTACATAAAAAAGGGGAAGCTAATCCAGGTGGGGACAGACTTATATATTTTCATATATACACAAGTACATAACATGTAGACCAAATATGATTATGTATTCTATAAACAAAAAACAAACAAATGAAAATCCGAAAACAGATCATGTCACCATACGTATCCTTAGTAGCTCAAACAATATTTAAAGCTCAACGAAAGATAATCCAGTGAAAAGTTTACCATACTAGCACTGAAAGAAATAGATTTCATCAGGGACTACTTTTTACATCTCCCTAAATGGTAAAGTATGTACTTTAAGATCAGCATTTTTTAGAAATTGAAATTACTGTGATGTTATATGTAATATCAGATGAAAAACATTATGTTTTTGAGATCAGGATGAAGATTATAGAACTCCTGTTGGAATGGACCAGAGGATGATGAAGACAGTCCAGCATTTTGATTCTCAGTAACCACCTCTTGGAACATGCGTCCTCTATAAGCAGCAAGATCCGCATAATACACCGGTGGAACTAGTGAGACGGAGTTTGAGCAACGGGCAGAAGTGAAGCACAGATCATAAATCAACTTTTGCAAGCCATCAGAGGTGAAATGGTTCTCGTCCCAAAGGGCATAGTAACGTGTGGGCTTGCTTGTACCGAGGCTTCCATAGTGACTGCACAAGAAAAAGTCAAAGTTAACCGGGTGCACGACTGTTGTGTCGACAACTGTCCCAGGGGGCACATTGTCTGGCACACCTTCATTGTTCCTATTATCGAGGAAGAGACGAGTTCTGTGTCTCTTTTGGGCCACAATAAAAGTGATCGGCGGTTGATAGTCTTCAGTGTAAATCTTCTTCTTCATATCAATAAGCTCTTCATTAAGCACGATTTCGAACTGACCCTCACTCACGCCATCACGGAAGACCACAATCCTCATTGGTCTTATGTTGTTTGTCTTAGCATAAGCATATACCAGATCGGAACACATGCTGCCAAAATTAAGGATCATTTCAGTCCATTGCTTTTGTGGGCAAACCCTAGCAGCATAGCGATTTGCAGCAGGCCAGTTGACTGTGCCAACGACTGCTGCTATGGATGGACATGTCGGGGCATCTGGATGGCTGACATCAGCCCCAATGAACATGACATGCTCTTGACCCTGAAAATGTGGAAGCCTCCCATGAAGCTCAAAGTTGCTACCCCCAAGTTTTGCATTGATCTTTTGGCAAAGGCTGGCAAATACTTGGTTACGCACTTTGTTGAACTTACTGGACACGCAACACTGTGTGACCACCCCGATTTTTGTTTCTGAAACCCATTTCAAATACTTGTAAACCTTGTCCTTCCCAGGCATAAAACACACTATGATTTGCAATTTGGCCTGTGTTTTCTTGTTAGCCAAATCAACCACACGATTGAGGAGGGTTTCAACCTGGGTGACACATGACAGTTGTTGAATGTTCACTACTTCACGGATTAGGGGATCTTCCATGTGGATGCCCATGTTTCTGGACAGCCACTTCAGGTTTACAACAAAATCGTGTGACTGTATAATTGAGCTGTCAGAATCGACAGTACCGGTGAAAACAATCAAAGCCCACCGTACAACTGGAGTTCCCGCAACAACGTGTTTCCCAACAAGGTTCCACTGGCATCTATCATTGATCAAAGCCATATTTGAACTTCCTAGCTTAACATTAGGGGGAGGAAGTATGCGGCCCACAACTTGTGTCATGTCATGTTCAACTCCGATTCCAAAGTTTTTACTGACGTCCCTGTCATAAACAAATTGAGAATATTTTAAGATATACAATGTCTATGCTATGTGCTGATGATAACGATGATGATAATGCCTACTTTAACAACTACGTAGTAGTTGCAATTTAACAGCAAGAGTCAGATGCATTATGCATATATCAAGTTTGATATTTTGTTATAAAAAACAAGACTCTTTGCAAGAGAATGAGAGATGAAAGAAGCGCGATTTTATTTAAAACAATTAAACAAACATTCGTTGCAACTTGCAACCAATATACAAGTGAGGAATTGACATAGACAGAAGCCTGCAATTAGTGATGGACCTGGTTCGGGCCACCCGGCCCAGCCCGCTACTGTGCAGGTCCAGCCCGGTGCTTTGGGTCCCAAAGTGGTCTTTTGATCCGGACCTTAGGGTTTAGTGGGGTGGGCTCGGGTAGTTGGGCTGAAGTTAAGGTGACCCGGCAAGGTTTGGTTCCTGCCATTTTATTTTTTGATTTTTCAAATTTTTTGGGTTCCCCCGGGTTGGGCTGGGTGTTTGGGGGGGGGGGGGGTCAGGGGTAGTTAGGGAAGCAAAAAAAAAAAAGGGCCCAAGACCCGGCCTGAACTGGACCCGGTGGATACCCGGGCCGGTTCTGGGCCTACACCTTAAACCCCAAAAGCCCGCCGGGCCTAGGCATGACCCTGCATTATCAAACAAATATCATTTTAACTGAGAACCTTTTCCATTAAATTTCATCAGCTACTCTATTTCTAATTACCAGGGAGCAACATATCCTGTGCTCTAATAAAGAAAGTTACAATATATTAAATTGAACTTAGATACATTATACAAGGAATGGAGTATCCAAAAATTTGAACCTTCAAACAAATTTAAGAGGCACAAAACAAAATCCAATTTAGGTAGGTCCGAACAGTTAATGCTCAATGGGTACAAAACACTAAAAAACTAAATCATTAGATGCATTGCAGTTTATAAATCCATATACATATATTTATATTTCATACCCACTAGGTCCATCAGCAGCATTCACCAGTGCAAGAATTGCTTCCCGTCTTTCCTCTGGCTGAGGAAGTGATAGCTTTCTGATGAATAATCTCGAGTCCCCAGCCAAATCTCTCATCGGAAATGTTTGGCCTTCAATAAGGACACAAAATTCCATAGGTACATACTTACCTTTCCCAAAATCTAAACACGGAATATTGGTGTGGTTAATCTTGGCATTGTATTTGTCAAGGAAGTAGTCAACAATATACATTTCTCTTGGTGGACCATTTCCATCAGGATCCGTAGCACAAGCAAATGTCAGTTCTCCAGTTCTTTTCTCAGTTAAGTTTCTAATAGTAAACTTTTGTCTGCATTTTCGGTGGGTCACAGTTACCTTCAAACCTATTACAGCAGCTTCAACTCTGTCCCGGAAATAATGGAACATCTCCAGGTCAAATCCATCAATAAACTGATGAAGAAATTGTAATACTGGTATGGGCTGGCGAAGTGCAGAGACTGTATAGTCAATGCATAAAACAAGACCCTGGGAGGTTTGTTTCAAGCTCTGGTTGAAGCCGGTGTGAGCGGCAAAACACGGTCCAAGTTTTTCCGTGTATTCTTTGGAGAAATACGACTTGCCAACCTTGTACCTCTTGCGGCTGGGGTTGTCTTGCATAACTAAACCCGGAAGAATTACCTCATGAGCCTCATGAGGTAATACATGCCCTACACCACTGAAGTACTCATTAAGCTTGGAAAACTTGAATTCACTACGGTAGTTGACGGTGAGTGTAAAAGTGCAGGTCTTTGAATTATCACTTCTGGGCAAAACGACTTCAAAATTTCCGGTGGGTAGCGGAACAAGGCTATATACATTACTCCCACCATCGTATTTGATCATCCCTTCTGGAAATTCTTCAGGATTATCTCTGAAAAGATGTTCCTTAAGGATGGAAAGAAGAGAATTACAAATAAACATCTTCAATGGCTCATTCTCAACTTGGACACCCACAGCATAGTGGATTACTGTTGTCTCAGGATCAAAAGAAACACGGAAATGATTAACAAGGAGATTGATTTTCCTGGTAGCAATCGTCCCTATATCTGGCCGTTTGATTGGTTGAAGCTTGTTGTTGGAACTTTCTGAAGAGGATGTCCTCGCACCAACCTCAGCAGGTACTGAAATATAAATACATCTTTTGAACAAAAAAACAATAAAACAGGTCTATGATTGCCATAAATACGTACATTCAACAGTGCCAATCACGCCATAAATTTTACCGGGAACTCATTCCATACAATAAAATAAAATACCTGAAGAAATCTCAAGAGATTGGGCTTGAGGTTGAAGCTTGTTGTTGGAACTTTCTGAAGAGGATGTCCTCGCACCAACCTCAGCAGGTACTGAAATATAAATACATCTTTTGAACAAAAAAACAATAAAACAGATCTATGATTGCCATAAATACGTAGATTCAACAGTGCCAATCACGCCATAAATTTTACCGGGAACTCATTCCATACAATAAAATAAAATACCTGAAGAAATCTCAAGAGATTGGGCTTGAGGTTGAGACTTGCCGCTCCAAACAGACCGTGGTGGCCCACTAGAGGGCCTCATGCCCTGAGGGCGCAGAATTGCTGCTCGGTATGCCCCACTCTGAAGAGAATGGCCACCGTCGTACTGCGGCAGCGGCTGAGTTGGTGCCCTCTGCGGCCAACCCCTGGGAGGACCCAAACCACCGCCGGACTGTTGCTGGGACTGAGGTTGCTGAGGAGGTGGCCGGCATGACCCACCCCAAGGAGCCGGACCACGATCAGAGGTGTAGTGCGGCCGAGGAGACTGAAATTGTGCCCGCTGCGGCCCTCCAGAAGGAGCCCCGCCACCATGACTGGCGGAAATCTGAGCGCACTGTTGCTGAGGTCGCTGATCGCCAGGACCCTGGTCCCTCGGCCGTTGTTGCTGCTGAGATCCAGTTCCGCGATTGTACCCACCCCGATGAGATCCAGTTCCGCGACCACCACGACCGCCGCCAAAACCACCTTGTACCTGTTGACTTGGGCCATGATCACCACGACGTCCGCCACCTCCACGCCCTCGGCCTCTACCTTGGTAGTTCTCGCCTTCCATAGCTCGTTTACCGCGCTGGTAATGCGCGTCGATCGAATGCAACAGTGAAATTTCTAGAGACTGCCCAACAGATTTCAATACCTCAGCTGCTAACTTGCGATTCGTTTGCGAAAAGTGGTGTTGGTCACAGCTTTTTTAAATTTTATTTTGGCAATGATATGTAAAATATGAAAATAATACTTCCTCCCAATTTTAAACATCCATACGGTTATGGCACACAATATTTAAAAGTATATGTTTTGGAAAAAAGAGTACAAAATTTGAAAATTAGTAGAATCTATACATATATAGTTTGGGCGGGAACACTCAGTCTGATTTTCATTTTTGGGGTGGCGGGTTTCATGAACTGTTTTGTTAAACACGTGCGCCGATCTCAATTAATATTTTGGAAAAAGCCTCATATCATGGCTGCATGCCGTGTTCTAAAACGCTTAATAATTATTAAGTGGCGCCATGGCTTGCCTATGCGCAAGGCCGTATGAGTTATGTACAAAAGTAAGGAAAAAGGGGCAAATTAGCCAATATGGTAGAAGTAGAGGTGCAAATACGACACCAAACTTTTTTTAGCTGCAAATATCATTAAATTGATTAGTGGCACTTTAGCCACTCACTAATAGAAACAGATCTGCCCAGTTAAAAAAAAACCACGTTAAAACAAAAGAATTCAAAAAAAAAAAAAAGTTGCATGATCCTAGCTAATTTCAATACACTTAATAAAAGTTGTGATTTTCATATAAATGCACATCTAATCTGTACGTTACATATAGCTCATTTGGTACTGATGTGCTCATTTCTAAAATTTCATAGCAATGCATATTTCGTAAGTATCATATTACATATTTACATTAGATCCTCATATTGAAATTCATAACAATTGATTATAGATATAAGATTTTATAAAAGAACAAATAAGAAAAAGAAAGTGAATTACAATATATGAAGTTGATATCACAATACTCATTATTCGACTCTTAATGCTCAGTAGAATACGTCTGATCGATGCTCATTAAAAGTGTATTAGTGCTCATATAACGATATCTACGATTTTCATTAAAATTACGAAAATGCCACCGTTTTTTAGTTGTGATACCAGTTTTCTTGTAATAACACATTATTAAACGACTAATACTCAATATAATTGAATCATTGCTCAATAACAGTACACTAATGTTCATTTAGCAGAGATCACGATTTTTGATCAATTACAAAAATGCCACTGAATTTTTTTTTATTTTTCCCTTGGGCCTGTTAGTGGGCCGGCTGTACGGGGATCACCGTATAGTCGGTGGTACCATATACGTATTCATCACTACCCCATTGAATATATGTTAACAACCACTCTTCCCTTATTCATCCCTTATACTTGCTTAATAAGGGAATGACTCCCCATTAAATCCCCTGTTGCAGTGCTCCTTATTGCTTGACATATAATCCACGTCAACAACCATGGCTGGCACATTTGCATAAGGGATTAATAACGGATCATGTCCTATTTCTTCGCTCATATAATAAGGCATCAATAACAGATATATTCCCTTATTTTGCATCCTGCCATGTAGCACCCGTACCGTATACAGAGGGGCGGATCTAGGAATCTGAGTTGCCCTGGGCTGGATAGAAATTATACTAGACTTAAAAATTAGAGGGGTAGGCTAAATGTGGAAAATGAAAAAATTAATTGAAAAATTTTTAAATTGCCCTGGGCTTCAGCCTACTATAGCTCGTACATAGATCCTCCCCTGTGTATACCATCATTATCATCCATAATAACTAATGAATTTAATTATAAAACATAGTTAAATCTTACCACATCATATAGAAATTACTAATTTAAGTGTTACTGTACTAGCACATATAAGAAGTAATTGATATATAGTCATATCATTCTAATAGCAAATTATAATGTATTGAGTTGTGTCTACATTAAAATATATTCACAACAAAGTAAATTTCAAAGTAGTTTAACAACCTACTAATTAACCACCAAGTAAATTACAAAGTACTCCCTCCGTCCCTTATTAAACTTTCAAATAGATTTGGCACACAGTTTAAGATAGTGCGTATTATGTGGTAGAGAGTTGTGTAGAGGAGAGAGAAATGTGTAAGAATTGTTGCGAACCATAAATTCTGGCCAAAAAGAGAAAGTGGATGTTTTAATTGGGACGGACGGAAAAAGGAAAGTTGAAAGTTTATTTAGGGACGGAGGGAGTAATTCAATTTCCTTTCACATCATTCACTCTTCACTATCATCATCGGAGCTAGATGACTCATCTCAAAGTTGTCGAACCGGAACCAATGGAGTCACATGTGTTTGTCCAGCTTTAAGGCGTGTTGTTGCTATGTGTGGGTTTGATGACGGAGGTTGAGGACAACCATTGACAGCAAATGAAGAAAGTTGATCATATAATTGCGCTTGAGCATAAGTCATATAAAAAGTTGGCCAAACGATCACTGAATCCCAGTTGTTGATGTTGTCCAAAGGGTGGCAGTGAGTTGTATTTCAGTTGTGCGTATAGTGATGACGGGGGCTGATTAGATGATGAACCTCCCGTAAGAAATTGATGATTCATCATTTTTGGATTTGCCACACCCATGTTGATAACAATGCCCCAAATAGTACTCATGACAGTGGTGAAGCTCTTTCTTTGTTCTGTATTTTCAACCTTCATAGTTTCATTTTGTGCCTTGATGAGCTCCGCCATCCCTACTCTCATTGTATCAATTCCAGTCTGCATCTCAACAATCTTATCCTCCAACAGTCCATATGTATGTATCCTAGAGTATTGCCAAATATTATCATAAAACTTTGAAAATTTTTAATAGGCAGGGCATCATTTAAGTATTACCTGAAGCGGTTTCGAAGGTTGAAATAGTTCGGGATGTGATAGTTGGGCCGGTACACCGACCCAACACCTTTTCCTTGGATCGCCAGTAATCTCTTTCCACGGTTGAGAATCAAAAGCAGGATGTTTTGATCTATCCGGTCCAGGTCCATACGCTTCTTCTATTCGTTCACAATATACTATCTAAAATAAATGAGGTTGCAATCAAATATATAACTGCACATAAACTTTACAAAAATAAAAGTGAAACATCACACAAGTCGACCTATATTTTATGACTCCGAATGTACCATGATAAAAGTGATTAGTTTGTTTATTTTATTAACTTCCAAGATGTACAATGAAATTCAGTTCTCCTACGGAAAATACCTTTTATTAAATAAAAAAATGTTTTGGAATAAAACAATGACATATTTTGTTATAGCAATTGTACCATATTCCCAGCAAATGATGTCTGGACTGGCTCATTCAAGGTAATGTCAGCTGCAACCCACTTTTCAGCAAAATCTAAAAAAGTGGGTTTTTTTTACCCATTTCAATCTCGTGCAGGTTTAAACAGTTATTAATTAGGTAGGGATACAAGAGAGGAATAATTATTTTGCAATTAACAAAGTATGTAGATATTATTTACAATTTCAACATTTAACACGTCCTTGGACTTTCGTCCCTTTGTCTTGGCCGGACGCTCTCCTTCACAAAGGTTACCTAAAAGAAAAATCCAAAGTAACAAGAAGGATAATTGACGTGCATCAATGGAGGGGGTCTAAAATGAGAAGAAATGAGAGAGAAACTCCCACATCTCTCTAACATTCCGGCCACCTAAAAGCCCAAAATGGATTACCGGCCACACCCACCTTGTCGGAATCCTTATCACCATCCCTTTCGCCATCAATTTCGACATAATTATCCGCGAATCCCCACCGGGCAGTTGCACAGAAATCACCAGATTCCTTACTACCATCCCTTTGACCATCAAAATCGATTTGTACCATTTGAAGACAAGTATCAGCGGAACTACATTGGGCCACGCAACAGGAATGGCACACAACCTCAACTCCATCGTTCTCAAAGCTATTCCCCTAAAGCTCATCAAAGCTATCGTTCTCAAAGCTATTCCCCTAAAGCTCCTCCGGCCAGAATTTATCTGGTATTGGCTTGAGGAGGTTGATCTCCACCTGTATTCTGGCCAGAGACGGCCTTTTTTTGTCCAACGTGGGTTTGTCACATCGGAGTGGTTGGCAGAAATTTGAGCAAAGCTCAAAGAGGAATTGAATCCAAACAGGAACGAAGGAAGATTCTCTATCCCGGTGGTATCCAGGATACCATCGAGAAATCCGCATCGTAAATCCATGTATAATACAAGGGTGTCAGGATCTACACTGGATATACTCATTTTGTCGGAAAACGAGACAATGCAAGAATCTCTTTTTTGTAGAGAAGTCTGATAATAAAAGATTTGAAAATTAACAAATTTCAGGCACATTACAATTCCAACATACAACTTAAGGCACAGTACGTACAATTCCAAAAATTACCAAATTTTACAGGTTTCTAATGTAATTCTAGAAGAAGAAGAAGAAAAGAATTAAAACGAAAAAGAGAACTACAATTGTTGAAGCGCCATAAATGATAATTGTTTGAGTTGCTGGGCATACTAGGACACTGTTTGGTTTTAGTATAAACACCAAATGAGGGAGCTAAGGAGAAGTCCTTTCAAGAACTGGCGCAATAGACGAATCAGAGAACAACATTTCTTCAGCTGTGCCTGGATATCCTTCTTTCCCTCCTCTAATTCATATTTAGGTGAATGGTTGTGAATGCCTTCTTCTTGGACTTGCACCAGGTTCTTGAAAAGACTCCTCCTTAGCTCCCATTCAGATGTCGAGCCCAAACAACTCTTTGACAACGAAGACCGAGGTGTTTTAGTATACCCAACAACTCCAACAGTTATCATTGGCAGTATTTCAACAATAGTCACTAGCTCGCAAGTCTCTTTGTGGCGTAATTCTACTATTTTTCGTCGTTTTGGTTCTCCTATTTTTTTCTACAATTACACAAGCAAAACAAATGTATTGGAAAGTTTTAGAATTAGGTGATTTTTGGGGTTGTACTGTGCCCAAAGTAAAAAGTTGTACGTTGACCATATAAGATATCTTATAGGGGATGATGAAAATTTACACTTTTTAGTTATTAGGTTTCAATCTCATTGAAAGTCTTTTTCTTTTTGAATGACAATCTGAGAAGCACATTACTCATATCTTAAAGAAAATCAGCACAAAAAAAAATCAATATTCCAATCTATGATGCTTGAGTTTCTTATATTCATATGATGGTTCACGAAACATACAAAATCATAAGA